ACCGGCCCAGCCTGGGCCTGGCTCCTGTTCCCCACTGCCATCTCCCCTCCCCTCCCCGTGGTGCCCCCCAGCCAGAGCAGGCTCTGTGCCCGTCTGAGGGTGAGGGCAGGGCATGGTGGGCAGGCAGGACCTTCATGTACCCCCTTCCCTGGGTGGGCGGCCAGTTCCCCTGGGTCTTACAGGACTACGTGTCCCCAACCCTGGACCTCAGCAACCCGGCTGTCTTCCGGGACCTGTCCAAACCCATCGGTGTGGTGAACCCCAAGCATGCCCAGCTCGTGCGGGAGAAGTGAGCATGTGGGCAGGGAGGGCTCAGCGGGGTGGGGATGGCAAGAGGAGGGGCCGCTGCTGACTCCCCTGCCCACGGCCCCAGGTATGAGAGCTTCGAGGACCCGGCGGGCACGATCGACAAATTCCACTATGGCACCCACTACTCCAACGCAGCGGGCGTCATGCACTACCTCATCCGCGTGGAGCCCTTTACCTCCCTGCACGTCCAGCTGCAGAGTGGCCGGTGCGCCAGGGGTGTGGGCGAGGGGGGTGGGCCTGCCCTGCCTGCCCCCACCCCCGTCTCCTCACCTGGGCCCACGCCCTCCATCCACCAGCTTCGACTGCTCGGATCGCCAGTTCCACTCAGTGGCCGCGGCCTGGCAGGCGCGCCTGGAGAGCCCAGCCGACGTGAAGGAGCTCATCCCCGAGTTCTTCTACTTCCCAGACTTCCTGGAGAACCAGAACGGTAGCATGCGGGATGCTGGCCACCATGGGGGCACGGAGCCTAGGTGGTGAGGATGCATCAGGGGCACTACCGACCTGGCTCTCTGCTAGGCTTTGACCTGGGCTGCCTGCAGCTGACCAACGAGAAGGTGGGTGATGTAGTGCTGCCACCGTGGGCCAGCTCCCCCGAGGACTTCATCCAGCAGCACCGCCGGGCTCTGGTGAGGAGGTGACCACTCGCAGACCAGAGGGGGCTGGGCGGGTCACAGCAGGGGGTTCCGCTGCCCCTGGACCGACGGCAGGGGGGTTCCGCTGTCCCTCACACCCCAGGAATCAGAGCACGTGTCTGCTCACCTGCACGAGTGGATCGACCTCATCTTCGGCTACAAGCAGCGGGGGCCAGCGGCGGAGGAGGCCCTCAATGTCTTCTACTACTGCACCTACGAGGGTGGGTGTGTGCTGCACATGCGTGGGGGGGCCGGGGGTAAGATGTGGGGGACAGAGAGGGCACAGGGGGAGTCCTCACTGTTCCCCTCCCTCACAGGGGCTGTGGACCTGGACCATGTGGCGGATGAGCGCGAACGCAAGGCCCTGGAGGGCATCATCAGCAACTTCGGGCAGACTCCCTGCCAGCTGCTAAAGGTGAGACCGGCTTGGGGGACAGTGGTCACGTGCCCATGCCCTGGTACTGACCGGCCACGTGTCTGCAGGAGCCGCATCCACCCCGGCTGTCGGCCGAGGAAGCTGCCCAGCGCCTGGCCCGTCTGGACACCACCTGCCCCAGCCTCTTCCAGCACCTGGACCAGCTCAAGGCCTTCTTTGCGGAGGTGAGAGGAGGGCGAGGCCTTGGCTTCCACTGAGTGGAGTGGGGTGAGTTCCACCGTCCTTCCCCGCGCTTGGGGCCCACGAGAACCCTGAGTCAAGCTCCGACTGAAAGGCCTCTGGGAGTGTGAAACGGACACGGGAGGAACATGGAGGCAGGAGGGAAAGCTGCCTGCTCCAGGCAGGGCCAGCTGTGACCTCACCAAAGAGTCTCTCAGGCCTTCGGGAGGTGAGGACGGAGGGGATGTGGCCTTGGACACCTCCCTGCCTGCACCCTGAAATGTTGCCCGGAGTCTGACGCTTTTAGGCTCCCCTCTTCCTAGGGGAGAGGGAACATGGGGCAACCGGCGTGGGAAAATCAAGGCTGAGGCCAACCTTGATACTCTGGAAGGATCTTGTGTGTCCATCCCAGCCTCGCGCTCTCAGAGATGCCCTCCGGCACGTCCACCCGACTCTCGTGGCTGTTTCTTGGAGGGACCGCTGTTCCTGTGTTACTTAGTCTGTGATGTCTAGTGGTGGAGGGCAAAGGAAGGGATGGTCCCCCGGAAGCACACTGCTGGCCTGGGCACTTCCAGCCTTGTACTTTTCTTCTTCCCCAGCTTGCACTTGTCCCCACAGGTGGTCAGTGATGGTGTGCCCCTTGTGCTGGCCCTGGTCCCCCACCAGCAGCCCCATTCCTTCATCACCCAGGGCTCCCCAGACCTGTTGGTAGGTGCACTGGGCAGGGCCCCCACCTCAGCTCCACCGCACCCCCTCTCTAGCTCTGCCTCAACCCACCTGTGCCCCCCTGTGCCTGCAGGTGACAGTGAGTGCCAATGGGCTGCTAGGCACCCACAACTGGTTGCCCTATGACCGAAACATAAACAACTACTTCAGCTTCAGCAAAGACCCCACCCTCAGCAACCCCAAGTAGGCTGCATGGAGGGGTGGGTGCAGGGCAGGCTGTTGATGCCCACATGGAGAGGCACCTCCCCTGCCGACCAGGCTGTTCCATGGCAGCAGGGGAGGGGTCTGGCCAGGACCTCCCAGGGCCTGGCTTCACCTACTTCCCTTTCTTTGGGTCAGGATGCAGAGACTGCTGAGTGGCCCATGGGTGCCAGGCAGTGGCGTGAGTGGGCAGACTTTGGCGGTGGCCCCAGATGGAAAGCTGCTCTTCAGCGGCGGCCACTGGGATGGCAGCCTGCGGGTGACTGCACTACCCCGTGGCAAGCTGTTGAACCAGCTCAGTCGCCACCTTGGTACGTCCAGCCTGACGCTGGGGAGAATGAACCGTGCACGTGTGGGGTGGGTTCAGAGGCTACCAGGAAGGTGCAGTGACAGTGTCCCGCCTGTGTCCTCCCCACCCTGTGCAGATGTAGTGACCTGCCTTGCACTGGACACCTGTGGCATCTACCTCATCTCGGGCTCCCGAGACACCACATGCATGGTGTGGCGGCTCCTCCAGCAGGTGTGGCTGGTGGGCAGCCCTGTGGGGACCGAAGCCCAGGCCTGCAGCCCAACTGCCCTTGTGCCCCTTTCCCTCCACTACTGTGAGCCAGGCTGGGGCTCTCTGGCCTTGGACATGGCCTTCTCCTTCCTGAGCTTCAGCCTTCTTATCTGAGCCCAGTCCTAAGCCAGCCCTGGTTCCCACAGGGCGGTCTGTCGGTAGGGCTGGCACCAAAGCCCATGCAGGTCCTCTATGGGCACAAGGCAGCAGTGAGCTGTGTGGCCATTAGCACAGAACTCGACATGGCTGTGTCTGGATCTGAGGTGGGTGTATACACGTGTGCCCAGAAGAAGCTGGGTTTGCAGGGTACCACCCCAGACCCCAAACCCCCTGCCCAGCATGCTAAACTGCCCTTCTACAGGATGGAACTGTGATCATACACACTGTACGCCGGGGCCAGTTTGTGGCAGCGCTACAGCCTCCAGGGGCCACACTGCCTGGACCTGTGTCTCACCTGGCCCTGGGGTCTGAAGGGCAGATTGTGGTCCAGAGCTCGACAAGGGAACGTCCTGGAGCCCAGGTAAGGGGAATGGGTGCCTAGCAGGCAGCAGAGCATTTGGAATGGGGGACCAGCTGCCTACATGCCCATCTTCCTCCAGGTCACCCACTCCTTGCACTTGTACTCCGTGAATGGGAAGTTGCGAGCTTCACTGCCCTTGGCAGAGCGGCCTACCGCCCTGGTGGTGACAGAGGACTTTGTTTTGCTGGGCACTGCCCAGTGCACCCTGCACATCCTCCACTTGAACAAGTGAGCACCACCTCATATGAACTCAGGGTCCCTCAATGTGGTGGTCACTGGCAGAGAACGGGGCACTGCCGTGGAAGCACATACTGTACACGTCTGTGGGCACATTATTCAGGGGACTTCCTTTATGTGTGCGGGTTTCAATTTAGCCATCCTAAAATGAGGTTGGAGGGGGAGGGGTGTGCAGGATGAATAAGCCACATCTGGCTGCCGGGTGCTGAGTTCCAGGGAGTTAAGAATTCTTCACACCCCTGCCCTGCTCCAGGCTGCTCCCGGCCGCGCCCCCGCTGCCCATGAAGGTGCCTATCCACAGTGTGGCGGTGACCAAGGAGCGCAGCCATGTGCTGGTGGGCCTGGAGGACGGCAAGCTGATTGTGGTGGGCGCAGGACAGCCCTCCGAGGTGAGGATCTGGACAGGGGGGCCTCGAAGCCACTGAGGGCCCAGCACCTGGCTCACCCCACGTCCCTGCTACCCCCGACCAGGTGCGCAGCAGCCAGTTCGCGCGGAAGCTGTGGCGGTCCTCGCGGCGCATCTCCCAGGTGTCCTCGGGAGAGACCGAGTACAACCCCTGCGAAGCGCGCTGAGCCCGCTCACGTGACTGCTCAGGCTCCGCCCTGGTGCTAGGCCCC